GTCATATAACTAGTACCACTTCAGTCAAACGTAATGATGATTCTCCAAAACTATAATGTACTACAACTGATTATTGAATGTAAACTATTTATTTACCCCCCCACCCAGAACGTTTATTCATAGGCTTTTTTCAACTCAAATTAAACACAAATATAAAAACATTGGCTTGAAAGTGAATAACTAATTAAATAAATAAACCAGGTAATGGCAGGTGCAGAGAAGAGCAGTGTCCATAATACTTTGTATTGTCCAAAGAAACATCAGAAATTCACCCAAATGAACAAATTCCATGAGATTCTACATTTTATACTGGATTCCATTTTGTGTTAATTCTGTGATTTTGTCTGCAATTTCCACATTGCGGAAATCATAGGGTGCTACTTGATTCAGTCCTATTTTCATATATTATTTTACACACCTGATAAATTTTTCCATGTATTCCCTGAAATATGCTTGCGTACCCCAAGGGGTCTGTTCATAACTTTTATGGAAGTAATTTCTAGGCACAGCCAAGGTGTTGAGGGGATTTGTTTTGGTGACCTTAGGATCACATCTCTGCTTTTTGCGGTTGATGTGGTCCTATTGGCTTCATCAGACCGTGATCGCCAGCTCTCACTGGAGCGGTGCGCAGTTGAGTGTGAAGCGGCCGGGATGAGGATCAGTGCCTCCAAATCCGAGACCATGGTCTTGAGCCGGAAAATGGTAGGGTGCCTTCTCTGGGTGGGCGAGGAGGTCCTGCACCAAGTGGAGGGGTTTAAGTATCTCGGGGTTTTGTTCATGAATGAGGGAAGAATGGAGTGAGTGATCGACAGGCGGATTGGTGCAGCGTCTGCAGTGATGCGGGTGCTGTACCGATCTGTTGTGGTGAAGTGAGAGCTGAGCCAAAAGGCAAAGTTTTCGGTTTACCGGTCGATCTACAGTCCTACCCTCATCTATGGTCACAAGCTTTGGGTAGTGACCGAAAGAACGAGATCGCAGATACAAGCAGACGGAATGAGTTTCCTCCACAGGGTATCTGGGCTCACCCTTAGAGATAGGGTGAGAAGCTCAGTCATCCAGGAGGGACTCAAAGTAGAGCCACTGCTCCTCCATGTCGAGAGGAGCCAGTTGAGGTGGCTCGGGCATCTGGTTAGGATGCCTCCTGTATGCCTCCCTGGTGAGGTGTTCCGGGTACATCCCACTAGGAGGAAACCCAGAGGAAGACCCAGGACATGCTGGAGGGACTATGTTTCTCAGCTGGCCAGGGAACGCCTTGAGTTTCCCCTGGACGAGTTGGTCCAAGTGGCTGGGGAGGGGAGAGAGAAGTCTGGGTCTCTCTGCATAGACTGCTGTCCCCGAGACCCAAACCCGGAGAAATGGCAGAAAACGGACGGACCCCAAGGGGTACATGTATCCCTGGTTGGGAATCATTGCCCTACAGGACATAAAACTTGCAGTTGTTGCACTTCAAACTGCTGGACCACAGATACCATTAATGGTGATTTCAATGAACACATGTTGAATTTAAATTTTGAATTTCATTTTCAGCAGCATTAGCAGTGTTTAGCATTGATATTTGTCACACTAAACATTGCTAATCACTACTAATCGCTGCTAATTGATGCTAATTCTACGTGTGGGTAATATCGTTTTTTTTCAAGGAATGCTAGGCTTTTAATATTTTATTTTGTGTTTGTACCAAATACTTGAAAAACAACAAAAAATGGGGATACAAAAACTGATCACACGTTTCTAAGTTGGATATGCAAGTCTGCACTCACACACTTTNAGAGGAGCCAGTTGAGGTGGCTCGGGCATCTGGTTAGGATGCCTCCTGTATGCCTCCCTGTTGAGGTGTTCCGGGTACATCCCACTAGGAGGAAACCCAGAGGAAGACTCAGGACATGCTGGAGGGACTATGTTTCTCAGCTGGCCAGGGAACGCCTTGGGTTTCCCCTGGACGAGTTGGTCCAAGTGGCTGGGGAGGGGAGAGAGAAGTCTGGGTCTCTCTGCATAGACTGCTGCCCCCAAGACCCGAACCCGGATAAATGGAAGAAAACGGACGGACCCCAAGGGGTACATGTATCCCTGGTTGGGAATCATTGCCCTACAGGACATAAAACTTGCAGTCGTTGCACTTCAAACTGCTGGACCACAGATACCATTAATGGTGATTTCAATAAACACATGTTGAATTTAAATTTTGAATTTCATTTTCAGCAGCATTAGCAGTGTTTAGCATTGATATTTGTCACACTAACCATTGCTAATCACTGCTAATCGCTGCTAATTGATGCTAATTCTACGTGTGGGTAATTTGTTTTTTTTTTTCAAGGAATGCTAGGCTTTTAATATTTTATTTTGTGTTTGTACCAAATACTTGAAAAACAACAAAAAATGGGGATACAAAAACTGATCACACGTTTCTAAGTTGGATATGCAAGTCTGCACTCACACACTTTCAGCTTATATAATTTTAGCCTCACCGTCAAATTCAAACAAAAAAATTAAGAGATGAAAGTATCAAACATTTTTGACATCTTATATTCTAAAAGCCAGGTCAAAAGAAAGCAGACTACATAAATTCCCAAATGGCTCCTGCAGCCCCGAATACCACAGATAACCCTCACAGAGGTCGCAGATATGCAACCTTGATGATAGAGAAAAGAAAGTGACACTCCTATTTGCGAAACAAGCTTCTGCATTTTTCCAATTTCCTTTTACAGGGAAAACAAACACAACATTGCCATTCTAAGGTTCAAAATAAATAAATAAAAATAGGAGGTAGTTTTGAATGTATTCTACTAAACAAAAGATTTGGGATTTCTATTCATTGCATTCATACACATTTGAATGACAAAAATCTCTTGCTGCACACCTGAATGCACTCAGCGCGACAGCAGGGGTCGAGCACCACCGTGACCCAGCTGTTATCTGATTCTCTCAGATATTCAGAGCATTAAAGTCTGGGTTTGAAAGGGAACAAATTGGGATGAGATTTCAAAGGAGCTGCGAAACGCTTGTTGTAACTGACAGTAAGGTAACATGAGCCGAAACCCACGCAGACTTGCTGTAATGGATGTTTTTTTTTTGTTGTTGTTGTTTTTGGTCAGTGGCTAGTGAGGATAATGAGCTTTGATGTTTTTGGTGTGTGAGTTCCTGCTTGTTAGTTTAAGTATTTACACCTATCGCTCATACTTTTCAAACAATTTCTTACACTTTTGAATGCGGCCCTCTCTAAATCGGATCATGACAACCTGTCTTTGTGCAGCTTTTCTTCCTGTTTATTACTTTTTTTTTTTATAAGAGTTCATTCTCTGGCTAAGATGACACTTTTAWGGCTTCATTGTTTTTACCTCACCCTGGGGAGACAATTGCTTCACTCATTACTTCTTATTTATCCCCTCCACTGCCCCCATTAAAACCGGCTCATTCCCCAGGTTGATGAATAGATACATGTGTTTCTRCACATCTCCCTTATATTCTTCACTGGATGCAAAGGCAAACAGAAACATAAGACTTTAACCTTTCTTAGTTATTTTTCCATTTGTTGTTCCAGTTACTGGTTTCTATTATCAGTCGTATGAAGTTCCTGAGTGACTGAAAAGCACTGTTTGAAGCAGGAAGCCCCTAATAATAATAATAATAATAATAATAATAATAATAATAATAATAATAATAATAATAATAATAATAACAGTAGGAAACCTTTCATTAAAAGCAGCCAAAAGCAGAATGAAAATGAAGAAATTTTAAGAGTTACCAACCTGTTTTTCTTTTTATTATTTGCTGTGAGAGGCAGCTCCTGCTCGATCACTTTGTGCAGAAATCCATTCTGTGTTCAGTCTTGTAACCGGGCAAASCAGATATCTCCTGCCCCAGAGATCTCCCTGTCTGCTTGCTCTGCCTCGCTGTCATTCAGTGACACACACACATACACACACAAGCGCCACAGCTGGAGYAGACAGATGCAGCTCCTCTCTATGAATGGAGACACAAACAGAAGCTGCTATGAATGATGCAGCTTTTTTCCTCAAGAAGTGGTGAAGAGGAAAGAAAAGGGGGTGCAGGGTGTGTGTGCCGTGCTTATTCTAATCCCATCCCCTCTCAGTGTGTGTGACTCCCTTCACTCCGCCCTCCCACTCTCCTCTCTGCTTGCTCATCACCTTCAATAATGATCACATCAACAGTTAAACCTGTTCTTCTGTGTYGTGTCGGGGCTCATTTGGCCAAAGTAGATGCTGCTCGCAGACGGGYGGCTGCTCAGCACTGGAATACAAATAAGTCAGAACAGTGAGATTAAAAAAAAGGTCAATGGATCAATGTTGAAACCTKAGTCTTTGCTTTGCTGCTCAGCAGACTGAAACAGGATGACTTGGCTGAGACTCCGAACAAGCAGATTACTGAAAAAACAAGCTTTGGAAAAAAAAATTACAAAGGCTTTTAAAGCCATATTTCTGATGTTTGGAAGTGGAGTTCTATGGAAAAGTTATGAAYGGTTAATACTGTCTTACCTGTTGTTGATTTTGACCAATTACAGTTTGCAGAAATAGAGTTCAAACTTAATTTTAATGAAATTCTTTAAGCCAATTCTTACAGCCAAAACCAAAGGGGACCACAGTCATTCAAAAACAACTGTAATCTTGAAAACATTGTGGTGAACACCATTCTATAAGTCGTAACATTACTGCCAGTCTSACCTACACTAAACTTTTTTRTTATTTAGCTCACTAGTTAAAAMATTTCCACCAACATTTCATTGTTATTTAGCTCACTGTTCTTGTGTTTTGCAATTTTTTGCTAACTCCTAAATCTAAATGTAAATGTTAAAATGTAAATCCATCCATTCCTCCATCCATTTTCTTCCTCTTATCCAGGGTTGGGTCACTTCACGGGGGCAGCAGCCTAAGCAGAGAGACCCAGACTTCCCTCTCACCAGCCACTTGGGCCAGCTCCTCTGGGGGAATCTCAAGGCGTTCCCAGGCCAGTTGAGAAATCTAGTCCCTCCAACGTGTCCTGGGTCTCCCTCTGGGTCTCCCCCCAGTTAAATGTAAAAGTTGTTAAATGTKGTAGTTTTCATTGAAGTATTTTCAAATGAAACACAACCTTTGCCATTGATACATGAATTTTGTTATGATGTCGTAATCCTGCAACGTAGCTAGTGCTGCTGACACTGCTAGCAATGCTAACACTGCCTACACTTCCCTACAAGACATCAACCTTGGGTGTCTGAGCTGCATTTTAAACTGCCAGACCCCAGGTACCACCCATATTGTTTTCAGTGAAYGCATTTTGAATTTAAATGTTAAATTTTCAGCAGCGTTAGCATTTTCATTTGTCGCAGGATGATGACATCACAACAGAAGTCGCGCACCACTGACTAAAAAGCTGTGCTCAATCCTGCAGATACTTAAATATAAAAATTATTATTTAGCTGCAACATTTATGATTAATCTTTTTCATTTAGATTTTGCACATTTAGATTTAGGATTTCACATTTACAYATACTTTTTAACCTTTAATAAAATGAGCATAATGTAAGAAGAGTGAGCTAAATAATAAAATGTGAGCGGACATTTTTTACTAGGATTTTACACTCAGAAGGTGAGCTACTTATGAAAAACGTGTTGGTGACATTTCATAACATTTTATTTCACACTTGGTGCCTCATATATCTGCACMTTTGGGCCATGACCTTCAGTGTGCAACCCAGTGGTTTGTAGTGGAGTGTGAAGGGCAGGGTGGCGTGGCCCGGGTGATGATTTCTGTCATCTGGGGGCAGTTAAAGTAGAGCCATTGCTCCTTCCAATCAAAAGGAGATGGTTCAGAGATTTGGACACGCTATTTTGAGCACAAACTTCAAGGACACCTCTTGGGGCTTTAAAGGTCAACTTTTCCCCAAAACCCCATTTCTGAAAATCAGAGCTACCTCTTTAGTTTTTCAAATCTGCTTCCTCCTTTTTTAAACCATGTTAACAACAGATCCTCTTTATTCTATCTAAAGATGAACACCCAGGGTATTTACATGTAAAACATTACTCACAAGCTCTTTCGTTTTTTTTCCTTAACTGTCAAAACAAAGATGATTTTACTCCTAAAGTGTGTCACAGTGGGCCCAAACACACTCTGACTCTTCCTCCCTCTCTGCAGTGCTGTCATGGTGTTCAGATTTATCTGGACAAGTTTTGAAATATGCATCTGCAGCTTGACAGAATATATTTAAACATGACTTCTGGCTGTCACAATTTGTGTCTCCGTCTCCGCTGAGAGTCATACTTTTCCTTTTCCTCACTACCCTCCAGACCCCTGCACTGCTGTCAGAATGGCCCCACCCCACCCCCACACTTCATCATCCCTCATTGTTGTGTGATTGAATCAGCCAGCATTTTCTTCCCCCCGAGTCCAGCTTCTCTTTCTCCTGCTCAGTTTCACACAGTTGTTTTGGAACCATTCTCCTTCAGCTGCTATGAGTTTGGTGTCCTACCTGTCTGCCTGTCCACCTTCCTGAAAGAGCTTCACTTCCCTGCGCTCGCYGACTCGACTGTGGCTTCATTTAACTCCCAACATGAGCTCCGATTTTTTTTCTTTTAACGGTGATGAGAAGTAGTTTGAATCTGCGCTGAGGTACTGTTTGTGTTGACAGCTAATGTCACTAAACCAACATGTTTACAATGTTTTCTTGCTTGCAATGTGACTTTAAAGGCGTTAGCAATCTTATAAAACACACTGGGATGTCACAAACACACTAGGTTCCAAAGTAAACTGGGGCAAAAACAAAAACCAACATCATGAAAAAACCCTAAATGTCTGTTTGACACAAGCAGAACTGTAAGAGCTCAGATTGTATATTTCTTTGCTGGTTTAAATTCTTTTCTGAGAGCTGTACAAAAACAGCATGTAATGCGGTAGATTATTCTTTGTTGTAACAATGATTTTTGGCACCTGATTGGCAGCACCTGGAGGTACCAGAATCTCAAAACAAGAATCAATGGCAACAACAAAATAAGCTGTTTGGCAGAGAATATTTGACAATTTTTTCATGTGCACCACACACTTACAGCTCTACTGCTCATCTCACAACTGCCTGTTCCTTACAAACGTTGTACCATTTAAAAGAGAAATTAACAGGCTTTCCAGCAGTATAAGGTTTAATTGTTACAACAAAGAAATAATCTACCATTCACAAATTTCCTTACTTTCGTGCTAAGTTTACAAGAATTTTCTTAGATAAAAACACTCAAATATGCCACTTTTGAAGTAAAAAAATATATGTCTACAATTTGTAATTTTTTTAGTAATTCATTATTGCTTGTTTGTCCTGTTTTGGGTTTCAGGGATCAGTATTTGGAACTTCTTCCCATTATAACTACGAATGTTTACACCAGTTCAATGCAGCAACAGTTCAAGAGAATAAAATACAGGTTATGTAAGTAAACCATCTTCATTTCAATGTTATCCTCCATCTTGATTATACACAGGTGGCAGGTGAGAAAAGGAACAGTTACCTTTGAAGACAGTAGAATCAGACACAGGATCATCATCATAGGCTGGTTGGAGCTGAGAGAACAGGAGCGAGACTCAGAAAAACACAGAAGCTCTGAGTTAGGGGAGAAAAAACAAAGAATGAACTTACACCTAATGATAACATTAATCACAATTATGGAAAAAGATGTGCCATAAAGAGGCAGGACATGAATAATAATAATAAAAAAACCTTTGCATGCACCTTTTCCTGCCATAATTCCAGTATTACCACCTTGGAGCCATTCCTGCAGCTAAATCACGTAGAAATACATATTTTAAATTTTTTTCCAGTATTTCAAATATTTGGTTTTACAGTTGCACCTTCTATGTTTATGTTCTCTTTTTTAACTGTTTAAAGAGCTCATGTAAGAATGATGCATTTTGCAGGAACTAAAAACCAGCCCCATCAAATTTAAAGGGAACGTTGTGCACATTTTTAAAACCACGTGTGAGCTCGTTAGCACCTCAACAGTATTCATGAGAGTATGACAGATGACACCTGCCCCCTGCTCTGTGAAGGAGAAACGGTGCCATCTCCCTCACAGATGCGAGTGTCCTCGGCCATCTGCCTTGCAGACACCAGAGCACCAGAGGGGAATCGTGTCAAAGCAAAAAAATAAATAATTATTTTAAAAAAGGGACGAGATATGACGTCTGCTTCTTATCTAAATCCAGATTCACATATGTAGCTCAGCCAAAATGTGAATATAGTGGAATATTTCTGGAGATTGAGCACATATGAAAACATTTTCTTAATCTGAAGTCCCAGAAGGGAAAAAAAACATGATAAATATTTTAATAAAGTCCCACAGATGCTGTGTTAGGGGAGAAACCAAGGGCAGAGAAAAGAGAGTGATGCAAWTAATTTAATTATTCTAATAATGGTTTCCCCTCACCTTCACTCTGCTAATCACACTTCCTGGCCTATCACAGGAAATCAACAATTCCCCCATCCTTGAAAGTGTTTGGCAAAGCTAATTAGGCCAGTGTGAGTAACATACACTGTCTGCGGGAGCTTTTCAAAGATCTTCAGAGCTTTTTGCATCGCTCGTGTGTTTGTTTGATACACGAGAGAGGACTGAGGGATAAAGATAAGAGCTCTGGCCTCAATTGGCTTTTTGTCACTAATCCCAGAGGGCACAGAAGTGGCCGTCATGTCATTCACCCACATCCAAGTCTGCTCTGCCTCCACGCCATTCTGGCTCTGCCCTTGTGAGGACACCAGTTTCTGCGCTGCATGTTAATGAGACATGCGCCAGAGGAGGAGGAGGAGGAGGGGGGTTTGATTTGACATTCTGCTAAAGCCCCATGTGGACACAAGTTTTAAAGTCTGGAATAAAGAAAAAAAAAAGSATGGATGGAAATGTCAGAACGGGCTGCAGAGACGTTGCATGCTCAATATTTAGGCAATTTGTCTTTGTAAAGATTCATGCTGTTGTATTCACCCGAAGGAAATGGTTTGCTCTTTTTTCTAAAGTTAGGTTTTGTATGTGTGTTTTTTATGCATTTGTGTGAATGATATTTACTTATAATTTGCAGTTTGAGTCACTAGATGTCAGATGAATAGGACACAGTGGATCTTCAATTATCAGATTAGAGATAAGGATTTTTTAAAAATCTGGTATTCAAACTTAGCAAAGACAAAAATGGCTGCAACTCAGCTAATCTTACAGATGTTGAGCACAAAAAAGCAGAATCTGTGTTTAAAATCTGTTAGCAAACTAGCTTAAAGGGGTGAGATGGGAAGTAACTTGTTTAAGTAACTCAGGAAAGGGGTGAAAGAGGGGCTTGTGGAGTTACAATAAGGAGGAATTCAGACCAAAGCATTGCAGTTCCACTTTGTATAGACCCCAACTGATGGATTTAAATGTAAAAAAAGAAGGATTTAAAAGCATGGTATGTCTCTATACTACGGGTGACATTTGTAAAGTTACACAGTCAACAATTACCACCAATATTTTTGTTTTATTTAGCCTTTTATATGAAAAAAAGAACATATTTATTTTTCAAAGTCAGTTTTTCACCATGTGATTCATACATTTATAAATGTCATAGTTTATAAACTAAATATTTAACTTACAAATTAAATATTTAGTTAGCAAGCTAAATATTTAATTTGTAAGTTAAATATTTAGTTTACAAACTATCACATTTATGAATCATATGGTGAAAAACTGACTTTGAAAAATAAAACTGTTCTTTTTCTCATATAAAAGGCTAAATAAAACAAAAATATTGGTGGTAATTTTTGACTGTGTAACTTTACAAACGGCACCCCGTATGTCTCTTTTAGGAGTCATCGGACCATCAGGACTCAGAGGAATGTCAGTGTTTCAGAGAGGAACAGAGTCACGGGGAACGAGATGAAAAGGTAAGTTTATTTATTTAAACAAGAGCATTTCTGCATCTGTGGAGGCAACGAAGAAGCTTGTCAGATTGGGGTTGGAGGTAAACCATAAATTCCAGGTGGATATTGAGCTTACAAAAGAGACAGTGGCATGGATTAAAGATGAGTATGATATCCAAAGAAGGGGTGAGGAACAGAGGCAGGGTCCCAGGAGAGCAGACTTGGAGGAACAAGAAGAAACTTCTGAGACCGTCTGAGGATTTTCAGAAGGCACAAGAAAAGTTGAACTCAGGAAAGTTACTTGTTACTTGTTACTTTGTGCAGCCATGAACTAAACGATTGGCCTGTGATGTTCCAGCAAAGGTCTGCTTCTCAGCAAAGACTTTATGAAGGCCCAGGAGTCATCTCTGGAGATGAGGAACAGCTGCGACCAATTTGCTGCCAGCCAATCAGGGTTTTGCAGGTGTGGCTGTGACAGATACCACATAGACCAATTTTAATTACACACTCGTAAAATAATCATTAAATGTACATCGACTTCTGATTGACACTAGAAGTCAACCCTATTTAGAATAACTACTACAGCGAATATACCTTTGCCAATACAAAAATGTCTACACCTTCCCCAAATTTGAGGATAATTGTAGGTGCATATTCAGTGACTGCCTGTATATATTTCTGATGAAGTAACAGAAAACATATATTCATATTGTGTAAAGAATTATCTACGGATCACAGTTTTTTCTTTTTTCAAATCCTTCAGAAAAATGAAACCGAGCCAATAAATTCGGAGCAGATTTCAGCTCTTTTCGTCTCACAGCAGCGGCTCGCCAATCAAGAGAGATCCCTGCAGAGCTGAATGCATGGAGCAGAACAAGCATACTGAGGCGTAACAATGACACACCCACTGACCTCCCCTCACA